AATTGTATATATAGTAATAACCTATTATTTTATATTTCATATATTAAACATGGTTTAAAAATTACTTTTTAGTAATGTTCAGCTCACACATAAATTCGTTGAATTATATATTAATAAAGTCTGTTTTATTTTTACTATTCTTTGAGATTTGCAATTATTTATTAAATAATTCATTCTTAATCCAAATTCTGCTCAATTTAATTTATTTAAGAAATCAACTGAACAACTTCCACTAATCCCTATCTTAGCAAGCAATCGATAGTGCTCAACGTAGCAACTTCAAATGCTGAAAGGCAAACCGCTAGCAACAATTGAAATATAACCCAAATATGCAAAAACAGTTTCTGGCACAAGATAAAATGTGGAGGGCGATGCCGCACAGTTCGAACCGAAGCGAACCGAGCCGAGCCAAACAACTGTTGAGTGCTGTCCGGCAAACGCCCAACAATTTGTATTTGTTAGCATTTAAATAACCGGAAGCGCTGCCCCCACGACTGCCAGGCTGCCCCCATTCCCCTCCCCCTTAGCCACTTTCATGGCAAAATGCAGCGCGAAGGAACAGCTTCGCATAGATCCAAAAAAAAGAAGAAAGAAACAAATACAAAAGCGTTTGCAAAAACCAGGGAAATGAAACAAAATACTTGTGCAGAGTGAGAGAGAGAGAGAGTGAGAGAAAGAGAGAGTGCCATACGAATACTGTGAAGGACACTGAGTGAGTAGAGGCGGGGGAGTAGCAGCGGGAGAGTAGAGGAGTGGGTGGGGCTACAGAGAACTCAACGCTCAACTATCAATAACACTTAAAAGCTTTTTTAAATATTTTCTGGTCTCGATGTTGTTGTTGCTGTTGTTGTTGATGTTGTTGTTGCTTTTGTGTGTGTTGCATATTTATTATTTTCCCTCTTTTTATTTATTAGTGAAAACCATTTTCCCATCCCCCATTCCCCTATTCGCCCATTCCATTTGCCGCACGTATTTAAAAATGCAATATCGCTCGTGTTGAAATGAAAAATGTGCCACATTTGGTGCTTGGGGAACCAGTTCGCAGTTTGGCTACTGGGGCAGCCAGCACCATGAATTATTTGCCTAGATTCATAAGTATTTCAATGTTTATTGATATCTTCTACAATTTTGTGTGTGCTTTGCGCTGCACTCGCAAACGAACGATTTTCAAATTCCCACAGGTACCAAACCAAGCGATGACAAGCCTAAAATCTGTATTATTTCATTTCCCTTTACGTTTTAAAATGGTTTGCTTGCTAAAATATTATTGGACCCGGAATAAATAACCTGATGGAGAAAGTAAAGTACGTAAAAAATTCTTGCGATGAAATGTTCAAGTTGAAGTTAAAGTCTTTTAATACGACTTTGCCCTAATCATCATTAATGTGAACTTAAGTGGTTTCAAATGCTATTCATTCCATTCATTCTTTTATCATGCAGCCCAACATCTTCTAGTGTATATCGCCCGTTTAAATTACTGACATAATCAAAAAATCAATAGGATATACAGTTTCAAGTATTTTTTGCTTAGTGTTACCATTTAGAGCAACCGTGAAACCACCATCCAGACTCATAATACTCTGCACAGCTCCCCTCGTATCCCAACAAGCCCCAGCAAGCATTTTTGCGTTTAACAGAGCATAAGTTAGTCTTAAAAGACTCGCGCGATGATTGAAAACAGTCATATGTGCGCTCATTTTCTGAT